GGCAGGGCTTCCTCGCACTCCCGCCGGCCTTGCAGGTCCACCGCCGGGCCCCTGATGTCAGGGGGTGTGGCATATGCTAATGAGTTATGCTAATGAGTCCCCCTAGCTCTTTTTCTACGAAATGACCCCTGTATGTATGTGTGTGTGTGTGTGTGTGTGTATATATATATATATATATATATGAATATGAGATGAGCAGAGGTGGTTTGCCAGCTTGTCTCTGCGTGGGAACCTGGGCTTCCTCGGTGGTCTCCCATCCAAATATTAACCTGGGCTGACCCTGCTTAGCTTCTGAGACTTCTTGAGATCAGGCTAGCCTGGGCCATCCAGGTCAGGGTGACCCTAGACTGGCAGATCACAAGAGATGTGCTTTATCCCTGGGTGTCGACGGAGGGTGATTCTGCATCTAGCATTTGTTCTCAACTGGGAGGAAAAAATGCAGCTCAAAACCACATCCAGATACCTGGGGGCAATGCCATACTGACTGCAATGTCACCCCTGAATGGCCATAAATCTATGCAGAAGGTACCATAAAACCCAATGATCGAAGAACTCGAAAGTGGCATGGAGTGTGGAACCTGCCATAAAACCCGATAATCAAAGGAAGTGAAACCAGCACGCAATGCAGAGGGGATTTCTGTCCCAACATGAGTTTCGTAAAACAACGGAGGGAAAAACCAATGCAGAATCAGCCAGAGAGCCAACATGCAAAGGCAGGCAGAGGAGTCATCCCAACAGGCAGATCGGCCCTTCCTTCTTTGCAAGCTTCCAGTCAGTACTCAGTCAGGGATTTATAAATTCTGCCGTTTCCCACACTGAACACTAAGGAGAAGGAATGCCTAAATCAGCACAGTCAAGCTCAGGGGGGATGTTTCGCACCACTCTGCAGGGTCGTGTCCCAGATGGGGACCAATTCAAACCCTGGTTCATAGGGGTGTTTCATGCCCATCTAGAATACACAGTGGTCATGCAGTCTGAGAGCCAGTGTAGTGAAGAAGGAGGAGGAGGAGGAGGAAGAAGAGATTGACTTTATACCCTGCCCTTCAGTACCCAAAGGTGTCTCAGGGAACTTGTGACTGACCCAAGGTCACACCAGCAGCTGCAAATGGAGGAGTGGGGAATCAAACCTGGTTCTCACAGATTAGAGTCCGCGCACTTAACCACTCACCAAACTGGTTTACAATCTCCTTTCCCTTCCCCTCCCCACAACAGACACCCTGTGAGCAATGCTCCCTCTAAGGTGTGAGCAAAAATGATACTTTGTGAGCTACTGGCATTAAAGTTGTGAGCAAGTGATTTGGCTATGGCATAGATTAGTTTCAAACACACAAACACAAAAAACCTTTATTGGCATAAAAGCACAAAACATCATGGTAACATACATTAGTTTGCTCCGGAGCCATCCTTCCTGAGCTATGACAAAAATGTGTGAGCTGGAGGCTAAAAAACTGTGAGCTAGCTCACACTAACTCAGCTTAGAGGGAACACTGCCCCTTGAGAGAACACCTCTGAAAGAACTTGTGACTGACCCAAGGTCACACCAGCAGCTGCAAATGGAGGAGTGGGGAATCAAACCTGGTTCTCCCAGATTAGAGTCCACGCTCCTAACCAATACACCAAACTGGCTTTCAAACAAGCTCTCAGAAGTTCAGGTTGCAATCCTATGAACACTTACTTCAGAATAAGCCACATTGATTTACTGCTGGATAAATGTACTTAGGGCCTGATGGCATAAGAGTGTGCCATGCAAGTCTCCCCGCAACTCTTACCAGAGCCACAAACTCACAAAGGTGGCTAGCTGTGAAGCTCCTGTTTCTCAGCTTCCACCCATCTATTTGCAAGATGGGAAGAACAACACTGCCCTACCTTGCAAGACTGTTGCATGGATTAAGGAGATAACATAAAAGGTGGTGTCCTGAATGCTCTAATGCACTATTTAAAGGGTCAGTAGTAGATTAGTTTCCCACTTAGCCCTGCAGACCTATTCCATGCAAGCTGGATTCACTGCCAAGTAAGTGCGCACGCACAGGATTGCGGTCTTCATCTTTTAAGAATGCAGAATGCAGCTACAGTTGCTGCTTCTGAAAGCAGAAACAATTCCCGAACAATTTGTTTTATCAAGAGCAAATCCTGTAGCGACGTTCCGTGCTGGGTTATCACCGCAGATACAGAACATGTTGGGGAATTGAAGAACAACATTCTTATCCTTTCCTTGGACAAAGAGAGGTAATTCAACACACCGCAGGCTGATAAATCATCAAAAGCCTCTAAAACACAAACATCTTCATATTTTAAAGGTCAGATTAATGGGGGGTGGGCGGGAATGATGACGCTCGGGATAAACTTACTTGAATCACAGCTGTGTAGTTGGCAGGGGTAAATATGGGGCTGTTATCGTTCACGTCTGAAATGTCGACATTAACCGTTACAGATGCTGATAAAGAAGGAAGGCCACTGTCTCTTGCTTGAATGACTAAAGAATACCCAGACACCTGAAAAAGGTTAAAAAAAAGAAGAGAAAAGAAACTTTAAACCATCCTGAAAAAAGGTTCAGAATCCTTCTATCTGCATATGCATGGACAGTGCAGGAGAACTGGAAAAGCCCTGCTGGAGGAGAACAGATTAAAGCCCCAGTCCCAATTTACCGGAGGCCATGTTTGTGATCCGGGCCTTGGAGAGAGCGGGGAAGGTGGCCTCCGGCTTTACACTGACCACTTTGTGCTCAGGGGGTGTGGATTCCTGGCAGCGGAACCAAGGCCGGCCAGTTCCGTAGTCCGGGGCCGGCCTGGGAGAGGCGGGGGATTGGGAGGGCTTGCTGCTCTGTTTGCCCACCCTTCCCCTATTTACTGTACCGCTGCTGAGGCGTCTGCCCTCAGTTTTTCTTCAGTTCAAAATACAAGATTCAAAATCCTTTCATTTGCGTATGAATGGACAGTGCAAGAGAACTGGAAGAGCCCTGGTGGAGGAGAATGGATTTAACCACTTCAGACGGTACTTTAAGGTTCTCTGTGAAGCCTCCCTTCAAGCAGGAAACTCGCACTGCAAGGAAAGGGTTGGACTAACAGTGGGGTTCAGCTGGAAATGGTGGCGGAGGGAGATTCTTCCCAATCTCATCAGACCTTGGAAGCTAAGCAGGGTTAGCCCCGGTTAGTACTTGGATGGGAGACTGTTAAGTCGCTCCCTTAACAAAGCAGTCGGAGAGTGATTCAGCAAGAACACAACTTTATTCTTCAACTCGAACACAACTCCAACACGGATCAACATCTGATAGCCAGAACAGAACAGTTCAGCTTTTACATTGCAGTTGTCCTGCTTTTAAACTCTCCCGGCTAATGTAGCCACACCCACTGTACAAATACCAACCAATACGGTTGTTCATATAAGGACCAATCACGGACGTTCCCGCTCAGGGAGCTTGCTGTAAAGGGATTGGCTAGGTGCTTCCTGGGCTAGCAATGCGATTGGATGGATTTGGATCCTAGCCCAGGACGAAGCTCAACATGATTAGATGTTTCACATACATCATGCATTCAGTGGCAGCTATTGAATACATTACAGAGACCACCTGGGAAGCCCAGGGTTGCTACACAGAGGCAGGCAATGGCAAACCACCTCTGAACATCTCTTGCCTTGAAGTCCTACAGGGTTGCCATAAACTGGCTGTGACATGATGGCACATTCCACCATCAACTGGGCCCACGGTGGTTATTCACTAGGATGGAAAATATTCTTGCCACTGGCAGGTGGGCAACTGCTGCTGGGGAAGATTGCGCCATGCTGGCCGTATGTACCTCCCTGGTCACGTGACCTCCTAATCACAAGAGCCACGTATCAGCCAATGAACGGAGAGGTGGCCCGAAATGCTAATTGGATGACCGATTGTTACTTTCCCCCATCTTCGACTAGGTATTACTAGAGGAAAGGTGGGCACGCAGCTCCCTGCCTGATTCTTTGTAATGTGCGCTTTCAGCTTCACTTCCAGGTAGACAGGACTGCAGCCTCTAATCCCATCCCGATCAATAGAACACGAGCTTCCTCGGTGTTTCCTGATTGCACCACTTATTCTAATGGAGCCTAACTGCGCCTAATTCTTGCTCAAGATTTTCCCCCTGATGGTCTACAGATGGCAATAAATCCGCACAGCCTCGGCTTCTCCCGCGTTCTGCTGGGAAACTGTTTGCGATGGTGATTCCAAATATTGACAGCTTTATCCTGCTGCCATGTGAATACAGACAGGATGCTTACTTTTGCAGCCTTGAGGCAAACGAAGCCGCTCTCTAGCTCAGGGTTCTTGGTACAGATTTGCCTTCTTTCGCTTAATGCCCTTTACATTACCTTGCTTGTCTGGAGACGTCAGGCAGGATTTAGTTCTGTGTCCCAAGTTTAATAAAACAATGCAATTTTTGACAACTGCTTAGTATACTGTGTTCATACTCCAATTTCTAGGGGCTAGACTAAGGGTGATTTCCCACAAGCGCTGCTCCGCGCTCACTCCTCCCTTCTGCCCCATGGTACGTGTCAACTTCACACAAGCTGCTGCGCGGCCGCATTTTGCCCCGCAGCTTTGTGCGATTTCCCCCGCGTCTACTCAAATGCCATCCCGCAGCAGCTTGTGTGAAATTGACACGTACCAACGGGGCAAAGAGAAGAGTGAGCGCGGAGCAGCGCTTGTGGGAAATCACCCTAAGTTTTTTATTCAGATGGAGAGAGCCAGTTCTAATGCCTATAGCAGCAATCCTCAAAGACACACCTGCTTCTCTTCCTGAGCCTTGGGGATAAAATCCAAAATATCTTAAACGGGACAGAATGAAACAGGGGGTTGGGGCACCCCCTCCCAGCTGACTGACTACCAAAGCGGTGGGCTCTTCCCAGGCAGGAGTGTCACATAGACACAGCCTTCTTTACATCTTCAGGTTTGGCAGACTCTCCCTATTCTTATTTAGTTATTCTGTTTACTTAAATTGTGGCCCACCTTTCTCAATCAAGACAGATTACGGACACTCGTAAGTGCTGTCAAGACTTACGGCAACCCCAGCACGGGACTTCCAAGGCCAGTGAGAGGCAGAGGTGGTTTGTCATTGCCTTCCTCTGCAGCGTCTTGCTTGGTGGTTCCCCGTCCAAGCACTGACCCTGCTTAACTTCTGAGATATGATGAGACTGGGCTAGATCACGCTGCCTTCCCTCCCCAAAACGGATTACAAAATATAACAAAAAAATCAAAACCAATATCAACAACGATTCAACCAGGCAGTGTAAGACGTCCGATAAACAGTGCAACGGTAAACACAGGTTTATGCCACAAAATAAGGCCCATTTCTTCCCCCCAAATTAAGAGACACTCCTTGTTCCCAATCCACGTTACCCCATATTATGGCAATCAGTTCCATGCTCTGTGGAGATATAGTGTCCAGACATGGAAATGTTGAGGTGTGTGCGCTGCTTATATTGAGCAGGGGGACTAATTTTTGTGTCATTGTTGTTCCCCCTGAAAATCTGCCAACTCCGAACTTGCAAACACCATCGCAACAAAATGCGTTGGAGCTTGTTAAATGTTTCAAAATGGCAACTGCACAGGCCAAGCCAAACAAAAAAAGGATCTAGGAATGCCAGATTGTTTTCTTATGCTAATTATGCAATGTAGAAATGGTATGTCAGCATTCACGCTAGCTAAAGTAATGTGGGGGTTTGGGGGTATTTTTTGATATTTTTAATGTGCGTGTATGTGCGTGCACACTTGGAAGTCATGATTGACCTCTGCTGGGCGCCTGGAGGATATTCAGAGAGGTGGCTGAATAAAGCCTGCCCCTGCCTCCTGACTGCTGGTATTCCTTGGAGGTCTCCCATCTGAGTACTTGCCAGGGTCAACCCTGCTTAGCTTCCAAGATCTGATGAGATCGGGCTTGCCTGGGCTACCCAGGTCAGGGCGCCAGCTAAAGTAATGTTGAGGACGATACGGTTTTCTAACAAGGCAGAGAAGCAAATCAACCCAATGTGGTCTTACCCGTTCTCGGTCCAATCTCCGTTTAACCTTTATAAGTCCTAAGCTGGGATCAATTGAAAATTCATTGTCCCGATCTCCGTTGATGATAGAGAAATGAATCTGGCCGTTGGGAGGACTGTCCAGGTCTTCAGCTATCAGCTTCGGAGGATTTGAAGAGAAACAGAAGTTAGGGAGGTGGATGGATGCATAAACAGATTCCATGACATTCCAATCATCCAGTCTGTGCAAAACCCTTTATTAAACTGCATCAATAAAACACACAAAAGAGCATGTGCTTTCCCTAATATGACTACAGTGGAAGGAGTCCAGAATCATTTTTTAAGGTGCATTTTAGCATTCCCCAAGGGGTCCCCAGCTGCTCTGATGAGAGCTGAAATTGGTATTCCTTCTCTTGAGGCTCAGGCACACCTTATAATGATCAGATACCGGAAAAGAATGGGAAATTCACAATCTAATTCTTTCAGTCACCGATCTTTTAACCTGCTGTTAGCTAAAGATTCGCAGCGCCTTGACTTTCTTAACAATGTATGTTCAAGATACTCTATCACTGATGATCTTTTGGGAACATCAGTTGATAAATCCCAATTTAGAAACTGGATTTATGACCTTGATGCCCGGCTAGACCGCTCTTTGATATTAAAATCAAAAGCATCACCATTGTACAAAGCAATTAAAGCAAACCATACTAGAACTCCATACTTAGTCAATATCTTTAAACATGTACTTAGAGCATCCTTTACCTCTCTACAGTTTCAATCAATGGCAATGGCAATTTTGGAGGGCCGATTCAATCAAACTCCATTGGTCCATCATCTATATATTTGTGGCACCCACGAACTTGAGGATTTACTTCACTATATCCTCTTTTGCCCACTGTATTCTAGTCTGAGGGCTAAATTTTTAGCAGGTATTTTATCTGGTCTTAGTGCTTACCCAGTTGAGGATAAAATTTCATTTTTGTTATCTG